CGACATTGAAACTGGCGCGTTGACATATATTCAGATATTTGCAGAAGTTACTGTAAAAGCAGGTCTTGAAATTTATTGTGGCTTTGTATCTATAAATACGAATTTTTAAATGCCAAGCTTCGATTACCTGTATTTGACACTTAATTATCTTTTAGTTTCTGTGAAAATATATAAGTTGCCAGATAAAAAAAAATGAATCATCGAGTCTTCAATGTTAAAGAAATAATTTCGATGTAAAGAAAATTTTATATGCAAAAACTTTATTTCACATGTGTCATCGATAGAACTAAATTACTTCGGTATGCGTGTAACGGGAAGCGAACCTATGTATCAAGAATCTTCGTGACGTCACGTAGCTTTGTGAAATAGAAAGTACCATGACGCATCATCTTTCCAGTAAAAGTGTCGTGTAATAGTGTAAATTTAACAAATTACCGTCTTGACTTTTTTTTTCCGGGGCATTCCGTCTACGGATGTATGATAGCGTGCATCGCAATCTGATGGGTGTATTTTAAAGACGCGATAAATTGTGCAGAAAATTACGCATTTCACTATGCTACAATTTAACAAGGATGTGTGCACGTGTATCCGTCTTTAAGGGTTAATAACTTGAAGATTTGATAACCGGCACTTATAAAACACAAAAACTGTCACACACTTTATTTAGTGATTCATGATCATAAGACTGCTTCAATGAAACTCGTGGAATATTGAGCGTGTAAACGGCGCATCATAAACCGCTGCCATAAAATAGGAAGCATTAATTCGTTTACATTAGGCGACGTTATTAATTTTTTAATTTCACTTTTGGACTAGTAGTTGTATGCAGTACAAAATAGGAAGTTTTGTGATACATTATTAATAGGGGATAGGTTTGTTCGGAGCCTTATCGTCGAAGTGCTTTCTAGAATTTAAAATAAGAAAATTTTAAAAGACGTTGAAACTAAAGGATTCAAAAAGGCTTCACGCATTTTTCAAATTATTCGCTGTTGTTTATATTGTATAAAAATTTGTTCTTATAAAGTTACAAGACAAAGGAAAACATTATGTAAAAAATATAATTTGATAAAATAATATCTTTAGGAAGATCATTCAGATTTCAGAAATCATCAATTTTTTCTTTAATTTTATAATTTCTAGAAAGTAAAAAATGAGTATGCCCCATTTGTTTTTATTTTGCAGTAAATAATGTTGCAGGACATTTTTGTTTTATTTAAAAGCAGCTGTACAAGCCCTGATAATGTTTTAACGTCTACTCAGGACATCGTCTATACACATAACTAATTGACCTGTGTGTGAAATTGGAAATGTAGCGGTTAATTCTCTGTTTCGGAAACGAAACCGATCAAATCTACTTCCTATAAATTTCTTCGTCTCAGTAGTTTTTGTGTTTTTATATTTTAAATAATTCAACATACAGTACCTCTTTTATACCTTAAGTTAAGGTGTTACAACTTCTCTTATAAGAAATTGATTAGTTTAGCACTTTTAAGGCTCAGATAGTATCAAATTAAATTTAAGAAACGTAATATCGAAAAAATCTCATCCACAATTTTCGTTTATTTATATTTTCAGCTCTACGTTATTGTTATTTTTGAAACTGTATTATTTCGTGAAATTCCAGCATAAACTTTTAGATTATCTTTTTGAAATGCTGAATAGAAAAAAGTGCAATAACAATAAAAGCGATGTTGTTTTATATCCAAAGGGGAACATTTTTTTAGAAAATAATGTTATCCTTTTTTTTCGTGCGTAACGGAGCCACAGGAACGATGCAATTTTCCTTTAGAGGGAGTTAGAGTCGGCGATTGTTAGTGAGCTTTATAAGAAGGAATGTTAGGCAGGTCGACGACACAACACTCGCGGAGACCGGTTTTGGAGCCCCTTCGAGGAGAGAGTTCTGTTTAAAAAAAAGGGAACAAAATAGCCGTGGATCTCTACTTTGCATTGAAACTTTGTTCATCCGCAGTTAGGTTCACCTGTCTTATTAAAGAAACAACAAAATGAACGAAAAAATGACTTTCTGATCGAACTTATCACGTATTATCTGTATGCTAGATGGCATAACTGTTAATTTCTAATACAAAATTTGTAATTTTTACATAACAATATTTTCAGTTTCATACATTATATATATAATAATATCATATGGACTTTATTAGCTTCCTTGGATCCTGTCAAAGTAATTAAGTTAATGGATTAATTTTAATAAATGAACCCGAATGTCGAGTATACTTCATTCTATTTATATTGATAACTAGAAAATAAAAACTGATGGTAAAATTTATAAAACGTTGCTGCTTTTCAGTGCATTATTTCTTTTTAGTTATTACTCAAAATACGGTGCTGAATGTTAAAAAACGAATATATCTAATTTGTTTAATGTAAACACAATATTAGATAATATTATCTAATATTGTGTCTTAGACATCTTAAAATATTATTAACGCTTCATTTTTCAAGATATCGATAGAACAAGGTCTTCCGTTTACAATACAAGGTCCACGTTGCCCAGCAATAAGATTATTTCTACTGATTATTAGGTCACCAGTTTATTGTTTCAGTGAACATACCATGAACCTGCCTCGATCCTCTTATCACTAGTACTGAAACGGAGCAGAGTTATTTAACCTCTTATCTAGCCACTACCGGTACCATTGTTATCGTACAATGAAGTATTGCAACATTTTCGTCCACGGAAAACGTTTTTGAGGAATTCTATACTATTCCGAATCGTTAACAACAAATAGTATTAACAAAACATTGACGATTTTATGCGCAAAAATAAATGTTTAAAAAGTCATTTTCAAGGCAATATGAATTATATTGAGTTCCGTTTAGGGCGAGAATTATCAAACCTCAATATTACTTGTAAGTTTAAATGGAATTACACGATAAATACATGAACTTTTACTGTGTTCGTAACTTTTTACGTGCAGAATCTAATTCTTATTCAAAGGCAACTAGTATATTATCGAAAAACAAATTGAAAATGTAATAACGTCATTAATTTAAATAAACTAATGTTTACTCGATTATGACAAGTATTCCATTGTTTGTTTTGTATTCGTACCATTTGTTCTGCATAGATGAAAGAAATTGCTACGATTATTATTTTTCATTTACGATTCAATTTTTAATTGACGGAATTAAAAACAAACTAAAGCATAACATCGATCAAACTACCTACTAGGGATATTGTTTTCTTAATAATATACGGAAAAATTGTAAAAAAATTGTCTTGCTTGCTTCCTAGTCGACATTTCTTACCGGTTACACACCGGCGTGTATTTGTGTAAAGTGTAAACCGATCCGCTTGCTCATCTTTCTCGAATCGTGACGCATACCTTTAGCTTTTCCTTCCGTTTAACTCGTAAATTATTCATCGAAGTTGAAAGACAAAACTTTGGGTACGCGTCCTTTCCTAGGCGCGTTAAAATTGAATGCTAGGTAAAATTTGTCATTCTCAAGAAGTGCCAATTGTCAAGTTATTCCATATGTTTGTGTATTTCATTTAATAAACGTGTAATTGGTTTTTAACACATGTAACAAAAGTCCCACTCATTCAAATAGTAAAATATTTATCAGTGATCTGTATGGAGTTTTCTTTTGTTAGTTTAAATAAATTTACACAAAAACATCGTTATTTCTTTAAATTATTAGGTTGTTACATACGAATTATTCGGTTGTTCTCTAACACACTATTCGAGGGCACCTTTTTAATCACATTTCAGTGATCATAACGTTTTCTGTGATTTTGTACATTTTTCTAACGATATACTAATTTCGATAAAGTTCATCAACGGTATCATTTACCTTTGATGTTGCGGGTTTTGTATTTTTCTTTTCGTCAACATTAAATATACACGTTGACATTTTATTTTTCAAAAGAATATGTAAGATAAATAATAAAATATGGTTTGATTAACTGCAATCTGTTGTAAAATAAACAAATAGACGTCAAATAGTTTTTCTAATGTAAAAATAAATTTTCATAAACAAAACTGCAATAATTCGCAATTAATACATCTCCTGAAAGCGTCCCTAGATAAGATTTGGAAAACAGATTAAGCAGTTTTTGTAAAGTTGTTGTTAGTAAATTAATTTGAGATCAGGACGAATTCATATAAGATAATTGTCCTGAGGAACTTTTAATTATCATATCTTACGTAAATAAAATTCATTTAGTCCAAAGAACGTGAAAACTTGTGAAGTGGTAAAATATTTTATAAAGTATAGTGCATTGCAGGGTACATTTGAAATAAAAAATAATACAAGCTTCCATTGCTCGTTTCCTCTATGCAGTGTGGTCGTTTATCAATTTATGGAGTTATTGATGGTTAAAGTACAATGCGTGCGTAGCAAATCACTTTAACAACGCAACTTCTACGATAAATGGTTCACGCATGAATTATATGAGTTGTAATTGAACAATGACAATGCGCACCAAGACTATAGAATAAATTTCCGACCGTTCCAAACAAAAATGCTTGAAAGATTTGTCAAAATTTAGTTACACATTGTTAAATCAATTATATCACGTTATAATGTTATTACGTGAGTATTACTTTACACTATGTAGCTAACGGTCTCATTAATTAAGTTTGTATCTTCACATCGTTAATCGATGATCGAATTTTTTGAACAAACTTTGATACACTAATATTCTTGATAAACCAGTTGCGACTAGTTGATTTTTGTCGTCTTTTATTTATTTGTTTGATCTTTTACTTTTGCTTCACCCAACGAAACGTTTTATCTATATTACTCCTTTTGAAAAACTAAGTACTAAATTCGTATCAGTCACATTTTGGTCTTCGTAGAATATATTGGATATTGAAATTCATTGGTGTACTTTTCATGAAAATACCTCCAGTATTTGTGGAGTTACAAATCTACACCCTTGTTAAACTAAAAAAGGTTTAAAAGCTGTTGTGATTGCGATTACCGATATGTTTTTGCGACTTAATCGCTTAATTATTTTGCGTATATGATTGCAGACGTATTCAGGCCTGTTCTGTGTGGTGGTGAATCCATACAAGAGGCTGTCAATTTACACGGAAAAAATAATGGAGAGGTACAAGGGTATCAAGAGACACGAGGTTCCACCCCACGTTTTCGCCATCACAGACACCGCATACCGTTCTATGCTTCAAGGTAATTGGTTCGTCTATTTGTTCATCGATTGACTAATTTATTCGGCTGTCTAGAGTCGTGTTCAGGCATTTCATACTTCGAACACTTGTTCCATTCGTTCTCTAAGCAATGTTTTACTATTTGTTAACTGATTAGTCGAGCTTACTTCTTACATGTACATATAGGTTGTTCCATAAATACGTGTATAATATTCTGTAGGAATTCAAAATATAGAAAGTAACTCTGTCTTATTTAAATGTTTTTTCTTAATATTATTGCTTTCAAATTGTATTATATGATTATTTATCTTCACAAATGAAAATATCACACTACGAACTTTTGTAAATTATAATAAATTCAAATTACTGATAAATTATAAAATTTTAAATTAACAAAATTCTTTATATATAACTGTTGTGCAATTCTCTGTATACAAAAGATGCTTCAGTCACTCGTTTAAAGTCCTGCTTGTTTAGCAAAACTTCAAGGTTCTACTGCTTTTTATGATTGTTATACCATACAAGTCCTTACATATTTTATAGTTTCCTTACACACAGTTAACACTTGTTTTAAAAATTATTTACTCATTGTTCAATATTATTTGACTTTCGTGAAGATATAGCAACTGTTTAATTAAAGAATACTTGAAATGATTTTGAAATTTCGATAAAAACCACAGTATCGTATAATTTTGTTTGAACAATTTTTTGATCAAGTAAATTGTTTAAAATTAAGAATTAGGGGATTTTCGTTTTGCAAAAAGTGGACCGATAAAAATTACCACTTTAAATATGTTCTAAACTATGGAAATGGTAGAACATTTTTTCCAATAATAGTTGTCATTGAAGAAAATTGTTACGATTATATGATGCTCTCTTTTATACTAAATATAATACTTATTTGGAAAATATTTCTGTTATTCTCATAGTTCCAGAGATATTCAAGATGATAATTTTGATGGTCTACATTGATGGTTAATGCTGTATACTTTTCTGAAACTATTATCGAGAGAAAACATTAAACTCATTTAGAAAATTTAGGAATTTTGTTACTTTCAGTTATTAATTGCATTATAATTTTTCTGTACATGTAGCCACATGTGTTGTGAAATAATATTTATTTAATTAAATCTGAAAAATTAATATAGATGTATTAATTAATAGTTGTTTCTCTTGGTAATTCTGTTAACAGACCGTGAGGATCAATCGATTTTATGCACTGGCGAGTCCGGTGCGGGTAAAACTGAAAACACGAAAAAAGTGATCCAATATTTGGCGTACGTCGCTGCTTCGAAGCCAAAATCCAACGCTGTAAGTTAATAACTGAATTCATCAATTATTCTGTTTCTTTTCCTAAGTATAATTTTTATTTGATTAGCGGTTTATTTTGGTAGGACTGTTCTTTTTTTTAATTACACATGGTATCATAATGGATGTAACATTGTTATACAACGAACTGAGACGTATATTTTAGTTTACGAAATTGTACATACATTTTCCAATGGCCTGTGTTTTTTAGATTACTTTTAATTTCAGTATCCTTCAAATATTTTTTCTGAATATTAATTCAGATTACTTTTCTTGATATTGATCTTTCGGTATACACTATCGTTAGGAAGTTTAGAATTACCTGTTCCTTTTTTAATGAAACAATAAGTTACCTTTTTTTTTTTATTAAAGCGGAGCGAATGAATTTTAAAGCCTATACATATCTGAAATTAACGCACACAACTAGAGAAACCTTCAGCTGCATTACGTTTTATTTTGATTCGTTCTATAAAGTGTGCATATTACCAGTGATTGCAAATCATTGAACGGTAGAGGAGTACCTATGTAAGATACATGATATCATGTATATAAGGAATAGTGGTCCGTACCATTTTGAAGAATTAATTCATGACAAAATGTTTGTAACTTATATTGTGCATGCAAATCACTACCGGTTTAGCATACATGATCTTGATTTTTCTTACGAAATTCATACAATTTAGAACGATATGAGCACAGATTCAATTTGGATTATAGAAATTAACACTTGAACGACCCCTAATGCATCTAAGGAATACAAAGTCGAGGAATTTATAATATAAATATCAGGTGGAATATCACTGTTACTATTTACACGTTCAGTAGGACTATCACAGGGTGATCTGCATTTGTTTTATCATATAAATGATTACTTTTCATTGAATATGTAAGTTTATAAGGAATTGTATGCAATTAGGAATTAGTATTTGTTTTGCTAATCTACAACAGTAATCGGAAACAGAATTAAATTGAGCCACTAAGAATGCTTGTGTACAGCACCGAACCGATGTTTTTGGACAAACAGTGTTTTATAGTAGTTTTATAGAATAGTCCATGAAGAAACGTATAATATGTATATGATATTCTAGGAGATTTAAAGAGTTTTGACGGATATATATTTTTTAATACTACACAAAGTAATATGTGACAACATTTTTTGGGTAATAGTAACATTTTAACAAAATTAGAGACATATGCTAATTTAATGCTCAAATGAAAATAAAAGTGGCCACCGTATGGCTGGTCGTCTTAAGCCGTAGTAAAAAAGAAGGTATTTTAATAAATTTTAATCTTAACAGTTTTTGAAAATATTTGATCGAGTGATAATGAGAATGAAAATACATAGACTCACTTTGCGATATGTAGTGCTAGTCGAAGTATAAACAGTATAGATGAGGTTCTGTCGGATAATTGAAATTAATTAGAGTAGTTACACTGCAATTCAAAAATTCTTTCCTTTTGGCAATATAATGTCGCTGCATTTTAACATATTTGTGTAAATGATAAATAATAATTAAACTGTGGATTCTTATGCAAAATGAAAGTTTCTGAAGTAATTTATAAAGACAAGAACAATCGTAGCAATTTATAGTCCCTCTTAAGTATCTTATTGGATTCAAAATAAAATAGAGACTTTGTTGGATCCAATGAAAGCTTAATTTTTTATTGTTTTCCACAGAGTCCTATAGGCTATAAATGCATAAGTGTAGATCAGAATTAAGCCGAAAACATGTGGAAACAATACGTAGTTCAATGTAATTAAAATTTTTTTTAAAGTCATATAGTAACTTATAAACTGTGAATAATTCTGCAAATTCATCTTCTTATAGGTTAATCTACAAGAATATGAATTAATACACAATTTTATTTCCCCTGCCAATTGTTTTATCCCGTTAAACATAAAATAGAAACTGCATTCAACCTTATTGAAGTTTTTCTTTCACTGCACTTTACTCATTTCCAATGTCAGAAATACGTGACATTCGCGGTCTAGTAATTACACTAATTGCAATTTATATATACACGTACACTGTTTGTTTTCATTAGTTGAAACGAGTACATAATAAGATTACTGGAATTGAGCGGAAGAGAAGATCTTTATCTAGAAACGATAAGTCGCAATTCTCTGTCTTACTTAATAAGTAATTATTGGCAAGTAAAATTGTACTTCGAATTAGAAATTGAAAGTACATTTTATATAGAGGGAGTTTTCAACATCATTATTGAAATCAGTACCGGAAGTATGTAAATATTGAATTATTTAAAGCAGTAAACCATGACTGTGAAATCGGTTTTATCGGACTTAAATCTTCACTAGAGGTAATTATGTATGGACGTGCCTGTATTCACTTTTTTTTGTTAGTAACTAACAAAATTAGTAACTAGTGGCCATAAACAAAAAGCAGTTTCAGTTGTTATTTTTATACGTACATTAATTTAGTTACTGAATATAACAAATTGTTTGTTACAGTTAGTTGTTAGAGTACCTACTTATATTGTTGTCTAGATAATTATGAAAATAAATTTATAATAGTATGGAGTGAATCATAAACTATTCACGTACCAATCTAGTATCAGACGAAACGTATGTTCGATAAATATGAACTTTTACGCGGTCAGTTACAAATTCTTACTTCAAAGATCTTGTAAATCATATCCGGTGCATGAAAGTTTCTGTAAATACTCTCTCTTTTCTTTTTCCGTGCATGATTCTTCACAGACTTCGTAAAATTTGATTTAGTAAAGAAAATTTGCAACTCTAACTCTGCCGATCTAATGATTGGATTATTAAAAACGGATGTTCAGCGCGCTATGAAGTCGCATTTAATCTGTAACATTACCTGAAAAGGAATTTTAATTATTTGTTATGATAAAGATATAGATTCTCGTTTAAAATATTAGTTTGGTGGGAAAGAAATGGTATACAAAAAGGTTCGTATAATGCTATAATCTTATGTAATTTCTATATCAATATGTGCCATTTATATTCGGCAATGTTTAATCTTTATTAGACTATAAAATTTCTTGGAGATATTCCTCATATTTTTCAGTTATACCACCAACCTAATACACAGGTTGAGTCTAAATTCTGTGACAAACACTGTCGGTTTATTTTAATTGAAGATAAAATATCAAACATTTTTTTTTGTATGATTTAAGAATGATTAAAATTCATTGAATCCAATTTTTCGTCGGTAGATCAACGTAACTTGCGAAATATAATTTGTGTTGAGTACAATTTATTAATTTCCATTCTGCGTTTCAATTATTGTTACCCTATAACAAATTTTGTAAAAACGATCAAATGTACTAAAATACGTGGGTCATTTGAAAACTTCTCGGAATGGAGTATTACATGACAACTGTAGTTCTGAAATTTTTAGTTCATGGTGGATTTTCATTTGTTGTATGAATAATTGTAACGTATTCAGTCAGTATACTACATAATATTTTGAATACAGTTGTTTGAAGAACAACTGCTTTTACGTTGTGTGCTACGTTTCCGAATAATTGATCAAAAGCGCATTCGAATGAAACTTTTTCAAGAATATTTAGATGGTTGGTCTGATGATATAATTGGAATGTCGTTGGTACAAATATATTCATGTTAGAGGGAATTATATTGAAAAAAAAAAACAATTTTTTACTGGTCAAATTCGCTCTTAGTTTTTAAAATTCTAAGATAAAGAAATAATTGCATAAATGAAACATTGATCGCGTAACTTGTCACGTGAATCGTTTGTGAAATCGATCGTTGAATACTGGAAGACTGTTCTCTGTTCGCTATAGATCACGATAGGCCATCGTAGATCACTGGCTCTCGAAGGATCTTTCCTTTTTCAGTGAAACGATCCACTTATCCGCCTAACTCGGCTTTGAGTCATTCTCGTCGGACTGTCCTGACTCACCGTGCGCTTCGAAACTTGTGCTCTTATATAGGAAAAAATTAACGTCGTGTTCTCTCTTCATGTGTTTCATAATTCGATGTTCACAGTTGCGCGAATCGTTTCGAGCGCGAAATTATTTGAACGGGAGTCGTCACGGATTTCGTAACGTGTCAGAACGTTTAATCCAGTGATTTAATTATGCGTTTAATCGGTAGGAGTGAAGCCTAGACAAACAATAGGAACGGTCTTATTCCAGGGCTTTCTTAATATCGTTGAGTCCATTTGTAGGAAGTTCGCGTTATCTCGGTTAAATGTTTTCCTGAATATGAGAAATTAAAGGGGAAGAAAATTGAATGATTTGCCTATTTTTTCTCTAATCAATGCGATGGCATAAATTACTTTGTAATACTTACAATAAATCTTATAGAATCACAGTGAATTTATTTTTAGTTAAGTAGGATGTTATAATTTTTTAGAAATTACAATTAAGATGACCGTTTTAATGATTTGATAACATCTCTTTCGTCTTCTTCAGGTTTGTGAATAAAGTTACCCTCGAAAAACAATGATAATAATTTCTTATTGGAATAAAAATGTATCTGTATAAAATCATCCTCAAGTAATAATTTACTTATGTTGGTTTTCGTTAAGTTTATGAAGAACAGAACTGATTTCAGGCCTCTATCAAAAGGTCTCTTCGAATATACGTTTTTGAAGCGTTTTTAATAATACTGATCAGTTAATTGTAAGAAGAAAAATTACTTGTCTTAAGAATTTTTCGTTTCTTAGTTTTATATAACTAAGCAATTGTCTAACTGGTGTCTGCATAAGAACGGCATTAGCAGTTGTGTATTCATAAGTTTGTTATAATATATTGATTTAGAAATGAAATTTCATTTCTGACACAAATATGTATAAAAAATGTTATTCTTGATACAGCTGTAAAGTTTACCTATGTTTATATTATAAGATGTCCGAAATATTTGTTTCACTTCTGTATTTGCCTGTTTTGTAACACTATTATTTTCTAGATAATGGAATTCAACTTAATAACTACATAGTTTTACATTACGTGAGAAACCTTAAAAATTAGAAAAAAAGTGTAACAATGGCCTTGTTTGTTTAGAATTTAACACACGCATGACAAATCTATTTATGTCACTCCATTACTTATAAAATACAACGTTATTTATTTTCTTTTTGCATTTTTCATACATCTACTATACATAAAAAAAAATTTCTATCCAGTTATAAGGCGAATGTCCTGTGTAACTTAAAGAAATTACAGTTGTAATATAATGAACACATAAGTTTCGCTACATAATATTTTATATAAAATATTTGATCTATGTTCATAATTATTTTTTATTGCCTTTTTTTGAAAACAGTGATTATAAATAACTTTTAAATGAAGACAGTAACTTAAGACTGTTTTTACTTAAAAGTTAAAACATATTTGTAGGGATAAAAAGCGAGACAAAAACACGTGTTTCCGATTAAATGATTTAATATTGTGTTGAAAATTTTTCAGTGACACATTAAAAAATTATTATTGTTGCATTTTGTTAGAATTGTTTAACGTAGAACGGAAAGAAGACGAAGCGATCAAGATTTTCGACCATTTTTATAGGTACATATGTACATATATGCATACGTTCCTAAATTTAACATTTACACATAACCTAAATGTTTTCCTCTATGAAATTGTTTAAAGTAATTGATTACTTTATATACTAATGTATAAAGTAATTTGCTTGATATCCTCTAAGAAGTATTATAATCAGATATTGAGAGGGTTAAATGTGCTGAGATTCATTATTTTTCATTCTCCATTATTTTAGAAAAATGAAATTAATTTTTGCAGATTGGAAAAGGATCCATTGTAGTTTTATAGGGGACATTTAAAATGTATTTTTAATTATTTATTAATTCGTGATCTGTTACATACGCGAAATTACGGAATGAAAAGAAGCTACATAGAATGGTACTTCTCTTCTACTCTTCGACTTTTATGACTGGTCAAACACCTTCTACATAAATAGACTGGTGGAAAATAAACAAAGTATTAATTACCTTCGAACGAAAGTTGGACTCGTGAATTTAACTTTGCACATTCTTTTATTCCCGGTGCTGACTTTCGGCGGCCACAACACATCTAGACACCGAGTCCGGCATTAATCATAGTAAGTCAACAACAAAATGATCCACATTCCGCTCACGCGATATACATATACGTTGCTATCTGCTCTTTGCCTCTTTTACGTCTCTTCTTTATTTACTATTATCCCTCCTATTTTCAACGCTTCAACAATTAACGCTTTTCTTTTTTGAGATTTGTGCATTTCACCCGATAATTTGTTAGTATTGTCCAAGGTAAACATAAGCGAACCAGTGTAATGCGTAGGTAATCGATGTTCGAATAAAGCAAAATATTTGAATACTCAATAGCTTGCTTATTCAATTAGAATCGAGAACCTTGAATTTGTCAGAATGATTCGCGTAACTTGGTCATTTTAACAGCCTAAAATAGTTACTCAAATCCTTTCGACCTACTCAAGAAAATAGTTATTCATATAAGAATATGTCAAACTATTAAATTAATGTAAGAATTGAATAATCATTTAGTAAATAAATAAAAAAGGAGAATGCGGTATAATGTTTATTTGTAACTTAAATGCAAGCAGGCTACTTAAATGATTCGAAAAATTGCGTTTTTTAAAAAGCTTCCTCGAATTGTTTGGTTATTTAAGTATTACAGTAATTCCTCCATGAGAGCAACGAAATCGGATCCGTCACGGAAAATTATGGCAAGGTGTTCAGACCTTCATAAATTTGTTTTTTGTCCGAAGCCGAGCTTCTACTTAGCTTCTGTTTATCCTGTTTTGATTGGTTCCAGAGGGAGGCCCTCTCAGTCATGGGGATAACGCCGTTGCTCGTGTTGTATTCATCGAGGAATCACTGTACTTGAATAATCTTTCTAGTATATACCTGGTTCGATTCAAAGCAATAAGTTTTACTCGTCTTAAGTTTTGAACACTTGGACAATTCTAAGTTCCATTAATTGTGACGACCAGTACATGCACGTGAAAAATTGTATCTCTGTTTATTTTGTTGTGTATAGTCCCTGGTTTAATGGATGTACTTTCATTTAAAAGATAAAGTTATGTACGGATTATTGTTTTAACCTTGGCTCTACTAATTATTCAGTAAATGTCTTCCTCACATTTCTTTGTTTGTTTAACGCGAAAAGTCCTGAGCGTTTGGGGCATCTACACATGGATTTTGACCGTTCAATATTGGCAAAAAATTGTATGAAAAAATGCTCTAAGCCCCAAAATCGAATAGTAGCAGACCAGTCACATGTATGGATGCATCAGACGAAGCTGACATTAGATCCAAAATTGCCCCCTGTAGTAAATACTTGCACCAATATATCATGCTTGGATTCAGCGTCAGGACTATGTCTTTTCATTTATAAATACATATATCCTACTTTTATCACACTTGATCATTATTTCCAAGCCATTATTTTATACATAGTATCATTCAATGTACAACGAATAGTCTAAAAATAACAGTATGTTAATTGATTCATAAAAATAGCACCGTATTATATCCTCGTCAAGATTTCTAAGTCTACAACGCAACATCGAATACAGTATTAATAAAATATAAAATCCAGTCTCGCGTCTAAAATGAAAAATATATCGAATATGTTTTTTAATGTGGAAAAGTCATCAAGTTATTGTTAAAATTTAAGAACAAACCATTCGAAATGATTCATTACTCGAAACATTCTTTGAATTCCTATAATTGTTTTCTCAATTCAACCTATTAATTATTCCTGAACCTTCCCGAGTCGAAGACAATTATCCGTGCATTACTGTACTCTTTATTAACTGTAGAGCTCTCTTTTCTGTATCCCTTTCTGCGAGAATATAATTGTGTCCGTCTACACCCAACATCCACTTTTACTTTTGATACTAACTATCCAGTGTTAATTTCATGGAACCGTTTTTAAGATAATAGCTTATTCATTTGACGGGCAATATTGTAAAATTCTAACAAATCTCTCTAACTTTGCTCGCTGCTCACTGGATTCAGGGTTCCGGAAACGTTTCGGATAAATTTGCGGTAATTAACGTGAGAGTCGACTAATTGAATTACTCGTTAATGTGTTCTGTGTCATGTTTTTGTGTGGTGTGTGTATGTGTGTGTGTGCGCGCGCGCATTGTATATACATATACGCATATTATGTGCTTGTTTTGTTTTTTCCATTGCACACATTTTATTAGATTTATATATTCCATATACGGTAAAATACTATTAGGAATATAATCGTATTCGTCTTGTACCACTTGACGATGGAAGTAATAATTGCCATGGTAGAAATGAGAATATAGAATGGCCAATTTAAAATTAATTTTTTTGGTGTTTCGTTTAGCAGAATTGCAATTAAATTGCTAATTCCTTGAAGAGTCACTTACGTATCAGATTTTTAAGTATCTGCATTTCTCTTCGCTTAATCATTACTGTAGGTAATGATAACGATGCAAAGGTAAATATTGTTAATTTGAAGATTCACAAATTTCATATATATTACAAAATATATATAACAGTGACTTTTAAGTTTAAATGTGTTCGGAACATTATACATATAAATCATATTTTTCTAATTCTTTTAAAGCAATTGGAAAAAAATTTTGTATAGTATTACTTTGAATACGTACACTGCTGTCAAACGTACGAGACCAAGTCTGGATTAGATTCTACTGGAAACATAAAAATATCAATTAACCCTTTAGCTACGAAGGGTGTAGATAAACGTTATTTTAAAGCGATCAGTCGTTTACGAAAAGTGTATATACACTACCATCCATAAGTATTAGAAAATTTTTATTAAATCTATAGTAAACGTGACAAGAGATAACGAAATTCACAATAACGTAAAATAAGCCTTGTTTAGGGGATATAGTAGATTAGTCAAGATAGAAGGTTGAAATTTGGTACAGATTGTTTTTTTTTTTTTGCATACTATCAAATGGTCCATCAAAAGTCCAATTCGGTCTAAGAGCAGTTGTGACGCTCTTATCCAGCTATACCTTTTATTATCTACAGTTCTTTATAAACGTATATACTGCTCCTATGCATTTAACGTATATATTTTGCATGTTTCTTTATTTATTTTTACTCGATCTGAATGAAACAGTTCATAAATCAGATCGGAATTCTTTATTCAACTTTTGGATTCGAATGCCGGTACAGCAGAGTTGGGCAGAATTTTATTCGAATAATACACAGCGAAAAGCAGCAGTATCTAAAGGTGTCGTTCTGAGCTTTAAACATTTAATGAGATTAAATAATTGTTCGACAAATGTCGATTCATTTATAAAGAAGTATTATTTTATTATAAAAATTCAAATTTCCACGTTTAAACAATTAAAAATAACGAAATACTTATCTTATCTTTCATTCGTTATTCGAAATTTTTCTTCTAGATAATGAGTTTGCGCATCTCTGCGGTACAGTTACTCTATGATTTTTTGGAATGCTGTTTTTCGTAGTATCTGCTAGGAGGCAGGAGCGTTATGGTCAACTATTTTGTTCGATGGTGTATAGAATAAAATGTTTGGAATAACAATTGTATGGATTTGCGTACACTGATCCTATTTAGTCTCGAAGGCTTCGTAGCGAACGGGTTAATGACTACTTCTTTTGTTTTCATGGCATTTCATTATTTCCCCTTTCCACAAACATTTTTTTATAGTAACGACATACGTACACGTTATTCTTGCATAGTTCACGACATACGTACACGAGGTATAAAATACAGCACGCTTTAATAATTTTTTCTCGTTGACCCTTCAATGTGAAGTGCCGTGAACTGTTCTGACTCCGAGTCTTGCTTGAAAGACGGAGCTCTTGAAAACTAGAGGAGCTGATGTAATTCGACTTCTTCTGCCTTCACTAAAAGAAACAGCTCTCGCGTGATACCACTTGCTCGCTAAATAAAACGTGAAATACTACAAGTTATTCCTTTGTCTTGAAAATTTAAGCGTAAAGTAGCTATCGTGGTTTCGTTTTAGTAATAGTAATCGTACTGAAATCACTGAAATATTACGCCATACACCGTTACGCTTTGAATGATCGAATCGCTAGTGTTATGAATCTTATACATCGTTTATCAAGAATTAAAACAGCGGAGCTAAGTGCACGGCAGTTCAGAACGCGTGTAATTGTGTCAGAACTATGCACTTTTTCAAAGAATAATTAAACAATCATATTCTGTGTAAAAGGTCTCGTACTTTTGATCGGTAGTATAAAGTACCGTATTTATTATTTTTCTAAGAATGGTTATTATTTTTTTCCTAAAAAAGAAAATTAAATTTTAATTGTATTTTACGTATTTTATCATTGTTTATCTGCTTATTTAACATAACGAAAATTGCTTCCAAGTCTCATAATGGCATTGCTTTATAAAAATCTCATGTGCTTAATATATTCAAAGGATTTTATCATTTTCAGGGATATTTATAGTTTCTTTTCGGCAAGGGTATCTGTTTAAATTAGAGCGTTAAGGAATAAAATATTTTCATTATTGTACGTTATGGGTTGATGGACTTTTAACAGATAGTTTTAACATCAATACGTATTTTTCATGCTTCGATATCCATTGTAATTCTTTATCTTCACCAATGGAATCATTTTTTACGACAGGGCGAATTGGAGCAGCAACTTCTACAGGCCAATCCCATCCTAGAAGCTTTCGGAAACGCCAAAACCGTGAAAAACGACAACTCTTCCCGATTCGTAAGTTTCAGTGTTTATTCTCGACTTCAAGTTCGCAGAAACTTAAACGTAGTTTGTGTTCTTTAAGTTTGTCTTTTAATTTCGTTAAGGCATTAAATAGTTGTAACTTCCTGTAATTTTCAGAAAGCATGAAAATTGATTTTTCTGGTTAAATATTCTTACTACTGTTTACTAAAATATGTAACGGAAGAATGTTTTAATTCTCCCAGTGTACCACTAATGACAATTAAAAATGTGAAATTATATTGCATCAAATTGGTAAATTGTTAGGTGCGGTCCTGTACTTGACGGATGTAAATTCAAAGTCATGAAAGGAATGTATTTATTGTAAAAGTAAAAACGTTAGGAATAACCTGTTATTGCCCTACAATTTATTATTAAAATTTAGAATGAATTCTTCATGTTTGTTATGGCGACACCGTGAACACGTTTACGTATCACTAGTAATACTTAAAAATCACTTGACAGCTTGCATGTGATTTTCGCGTCACTGAACTTTTTCGAATTAGATAATGACCTTTTTAATTGCGGGCTCGAGTTCTCGCCTCGCGCCTGCCATTCGACGAAAATAATTAACAAGATACACCAAGGGGAAGCGAGATAGAAAGTAATGGCGGACGACATTCCGATGCGTTAACCACTAGCGCGACAGAAACATTTTTCTATTCTTAACTCTTTTCTCAATGTAAACTCAAAAACGATGTTACTTCGTTCATTTTAAAGAATACTTATACATATTAATACGTTCACCGTGGAGCCTATTTCGGCTGACTTATATGATGTAAAAAAGTATGCAGCATTCCATTAAAAAAAATTAAGGTCACCTTTGTTTTTCAAAAAATATTAAAAATACAAAAACTTTAGATACGCTATCATATTACTAGTAAAATATACTACAACTTCCTCCTCTTCGGTCTTCTTCTAATGTTTACCGTTTACGAAAAAAAACGATGGTACAAATTATCGCGAACACCCTCTATATGTATATCCATAGCACGAATACAATGTTCCAATAAGAACAGTAAAAAATTAGATGCCGAAACTGCAGAATTATTCAATTTAACTTTTATTTGTTATTGTTTTTACTGTTAAAATATATAATTGTTATTGTAATTTTTTTACTTTTCACCTACTTGTAAGTTAACATTGTTAAATTACACAGTCCAAACCTCACATCAATATCCCCTACGGTTCAAAATTTATATCAAAATGTCACTGGATTTTTCAATTTCGACCACTGTGCGGCGGTAAATGTGTTTACGCGTGTCACGTCATCAACACAAAAATATGCGTTGTTGCAAAATATCATATTCAGAATTGCATCGTATTGGGTATTATCAGTAATATCAGTTGCAAACAGAATGAGAATAAGGTGTTTGTTGCGTTAACATTTGAGACACAAAAGTACGTTCGGTATCGCTTCAAAATGACGGGCGAAGCAGGTGCAGGCGTTGAACGCCTCCGTTCTTAAACAGCACTGAAAACTGGAAGGCATACCAAGTGAGAAATATTCGAAGCTTGGACACGTGTGATTTTCGAATCATTGCCACAGGATTGTGCACTCTGAAAAATGAAGCTAAATAACACGTCCTATTTTATCTCCATTGGCTTCTCTAAAAATATTTTGATTGCAATCTTTGTATTCTTTTTTTTTCATAGATTGCTTCTACCCGTGGATAATCACTGCGTTATTATTTAAATGATGGTAATAATAATAGCGAAACATTTGTTGAACAGGGTAAATTCATCAGGATAAACTTCGATGCTTCCGGGTACATTGCCGGTGCGAACATAGAAACTTATCTCCTGGAAAAATCGAGAGCAATTCGGCAAGCAAAGGACGAAAGGACTTTCCATATATTCTATCAGCTACTCGCCGGTGCTTCACCAGAACAAAAAAGTAAGCAAAATTTTTGGTAAACAAAAACAACTTTCCTTGCATTTCTTAGTTATTAGTACACTGGGGATATTTTTCAACCTAATAGAACCATTGATAAAAGGAAATCAATTTCTGTTTATCCCTCGGTTTCGAAAATCTATAAACATTTGAATTTCCATAAACATACGCAATCTAGTTATTAAAGTAATCACTTTATTGTATTTTTTAACGACTAATTGAATATATTATATTCTTAATTTTTTAATTTATATAACATATTTATTCAATTATTAACATATCAATTCTACTTTACACAGTTTCTGTCTTGGTTTCAATTTCTGATTCTATGGTAGCGAGTAATAAATTTTGCTTGACTCTTTACGATACAAGAGGACTGTTAAGTGAATTTTTAATAAGTAGAACTGTGGATTTTTTAATGTACAAAACTCAGTATATTAAAATCTAATGAAATTTAATAGTATTTATTTGTTATTATCAATCTAATAAAATCTCTAATATAGGAAATCAATTTCTGTCTAATATGTACTTCTGTTCATTAGTTTCTAAATCTGCATAGACATCTACAGTCTGGTAATAAATCTCTGCGAGAAAGTATTAACATAGAATTCCTTGATCTTGAAGAGTTCCAAGATCAGACTATTGCATCTCGTTGAAATAAAGTATATCTGATAAATAAGGTGTCCTTCAAATACTGTCAAAGGATAGTAAATTGAAATATCATTTTATCCGAGCAAATTCGTTATTAATAATGAAAAATTATCTATCGCGTTAGTGATGTTAATATCACTTTGTAAGTATGTTAATAAAGCAAATATAAGTTTCACAACAAATAGCGGCCTTTACTAATATTTTCAGTTGATAACGATACAGTGAAGTGTACTGATTTATGATTATCCGCAATTCCAATATAGTAAAATACAGGTTCAGTTACATTTGTACTTACATTATCTTTTTCCATCTTTATAGTTTCTTTCAACGTTAAAATGTATGATCGCCCAGTTAGAATAAAGTTTCTTTTCTAATATGTACGCTGGATGACCGATGGCTCTCGAGACAGCATCTGGTAGCTTACTCTAAATCAAAGTCTAATTAGAGCATATTGATTATTATTACTGTTCGATAACATGATTGACATTCCTTATTGAAATACCAAGCACTTCTGGTCATTATGTGTTGGCCTTTCTGAAGATAGAGTTTTCCCCGCTTAATTGACGCAAGTTTTTTTTATAAATTTCGGGTTTCCATAAATAGCAAAATGCACAACGAATTGAGATTACTCCCAAGAAACTGACAGTCTGATGCAACAGAATATTTACAAGTGTTCGCAAACTGTGCGCGAACATTGTTTGCGAATACCAAAGAAACCTATTTTTTATTAATTCCAATAGGAGGGTTACATTGCTTCCAACTTTTCTTTTATTAAATGATCATATTTATTAAAAACATCACTCACAATTCCACCAGTCAAGTTGTCCGGAATGTGTTAAATTGTCTAATTATTCTTGTTCAAAATTTTTCAGAGGAATTTATTTTAGAGGACCCAAAACACTATCCATTCCTTTCAAATGGCGCATTACCAGTTCCGGGTGTGGACGATTCAGCCGAGTTCTTCTCAACCGTGAAGTCCATGCACATCATGGGCATGACAAACGAAGACTTCTCATCGATATTCCGTATCGTGTCAGCGGTAATGTTGTTCGGATCGATGCAGTTCCGTCAGGAAAGAAATTCCGATCAAGCTACGTTACCTGACAATACTGTAGCCCAGAAAATTTCTCACTTGTTGGGTTTGAGCGTTACGGAAATGACGAAAGCTTTTCTAAAACCAAGAATCAAGGTAGGCAGAGACTTTGTGACGAAAGCACAGACAAAGGAACAAGTTGAATTTGCGGTGGAGGCAATCTCAAAGGCTTGTTATGAGAGAATGTTCAGGTGGCTTGTGAACAGAATTAATAGATCCTTGGATCGGACAAAGAGGCAAGGAGCTAGTTTTATTGGTATACTGGATATGGCTGGTTTTGAAATATTTGAATTAAACAGCTTTGAACAACTGTGCATCAATTACACGAATGAGAAATTGCAACAATTATTTAACCATACTATGTTCATTCTGGAACAAGAAGAGTATCAAAGAGAGGGAATCGAATGGAAGTTCATCGACTTCGGATTGGACCTGCAACCAACTATTGATCTGATTGACAAACCTATGGGTAAGATTACAGAAACATTTTGATCTAGTTAATTTTAATTATGCAATTAGTACGACATTTTACTTCAAAAATGAATTTACTATTTATTTTTTATTGGCGTGAATATTTATTAACATTAAAACTTTAAAGATGTTGTTATACAATGTGTATATTTTTACTGTAAAACTAACATGCTCTATAATCTTTATGTAGCATTTATTTAAACGAGAACTTAAATAACTGTCAAGTGCTTTAAGTGCTTTGAAATTACTACTATTTTTCTTGAATGTAGTTAGAATTTCCTTTTTAATGTTTGTGAACTAACTAAGAAGAATTTGTCAATGTCTTCAAACTTTTTTTAGTTGAAACTTCAATTAATAACCATGTCTATACTTTTCATATACTAAATTTTTCTCTTGCTGTAAATTATTCTGTATTGTGATCGAGATTTTTCACTGTAGTTGGGATTGCTCAAAGTGCTTTTAATGAAGTATCTTGTCAATATATTAAAGTAATTATTAAAGAAATAGAAAATAAAGGAGGAACTTATTTTAATTTCAAAATAGGTATCATGGCATTATTGGATGAGGAATGTTGGTTCCCGAAGGCTACGGACAAAACATTTGTCGAAAAATTAGTTGGTGCTCATAGTGTACATCCCAAATTTATGAAGACAGACTTCAGAGGCGTTGCAGACTTTGCTATCATACATTACGCTGGAAAGGTTGATTATTCAGCTGCCAAATGGTTAATGAAAAATATGGATCCTCTGAACGAAAATGTTGTTAGTCTCTTACAAAATTCACAAGATCCTTTTGTCTGTCACATTTGGAAAGATGCAGAAATTGTTGGAATGGCCCAACAAGCGTTAACCGACACACAATTTGGCGCAAGAACAAGAAAAGGAATGTTTAGAACAGTTTCTCAGCTATACAAAGAGCAATTGGCAAAATTAATGGTTACACTGAGAAATACTAATCCCAATTTTGTAAGATGTATTATACCGAATCATGAGAAAAGGGCTGGAAAAATTGACGCGCCATTGGTCTTAGATCAGTTAAGGTGCAACGGAGTATTAGAAGGAATTAGAATTTGCCGTCAAGGATTTCCGAATAGAATACCCTTTCAAGAATTTAGACAAAGATACGAGCTTTTGACACCCAATGCAATTCCCAAAGGATTCATGGACGGAAAGAAGGCATGCGAGAAAATGGTAAATATTGTATTCTTTCCAGTTCACAGTTATAGTTGTGCAGGACAATTTTAAATATCTGTAACAAAATTTATACATACAAGATACACTTAAGAACTAACTAAAAAGTTATAATACACATAACTATTGAATTTATTAACTTTTTAAACACAACTCTTTTTAATTTACAGTACTGCTTTCCAGCAGAGTTAAGTGAAGTATAATATGAATCATGATTAGTACTGCTGAATATAATGGATTGATCGTTCATTATTGTAATCATATTTACTTGATTAATTAATTACAAAAATAATTAATTGTGATCCAACTCTGTTTCTTTTTATGCATTTTGTACCAATGTAAATTATACCATGAACTCTAAACGATTTTAGAGAGATGATTTTACGAAAATAGAGAACTATTTAAAAATTTAAACTACCCAATGCTTTCATAAATGTTGTGACAGTAAATTTTGCACTCTAATTGCGGATAAAAAATTGAAAATTAATTAAACTGATGCTGAAATTTGTGTTTCAGATTCAAGCACTTGAACTCGATCCCAATCTCTATCGGGTTGGTCAATCAAAAATTTTCTTCCGCGCTGGAGTCTTAGCACATCTCGAAGAAGAGCGTGATTACAAAATCACTGATATAATTGTCAACTTCCAAGCGTTTTGTCGTGGTTTCCTTGCCCGTAGAAATTATCAGAAACGTCTGCAACAATTAAACGCAATAAGAATCATTCAAAGAAATTGTGCTGCTTACTTAAAACTCAGAAATTGGCAGTGGTGGCGTTTGTATACTAAAGTGAAGCCACTGTTAGAAGTTACCAAACAAGAAGAGAAATTGACTCAAAAGGAGGATGAGTTAAAGCAAGTTCGAGACAAGTTAGAATCGCAGCTGCATTCTGCACAAGAATACGAAAGAAAGTATCAACAAGCTATCGAAGAGAAAACCATGTTGGCGGAGCAATTGCAGGCAGAAGTTGAATTATGCGCAGAAGCAGAAGAGATGAGAGCGAGACTAGCCGCAAGAAAACAAGAATTGGAGGAGATTCTTCATGATTTGGAAGCAAGAATTGAAGAAGAAGAAGAGAGAAGTGCCGCATTAACTCAAGAAAAAAAGAAACTGCAATTGAACATAAGCGACCTCGAGGAACAGCTGGAAGAGGAAGAGGCTGCCAGGCAGAAATTGCAATTAGAAAAAGTACAATGTGATGCAAAAATTAAAAAGCTCGAAGAAGATCTTGCCCTTTCTGATGATACGAATCAAAAATTATTGAAAGAAAAGAAAATTCTTGAAGAAAGATCAAACGATTTGTCGCAGACTCTTGCTGAGGAAGAAGAAAAAGCGAAGCATTTATCAAAATTGAAAGCTAAACACGAAGCAACAATTGCAGATTTAGAGGAAAGGTTATTGAAAGATCACCAACAAAGACAAGAAGTTGATAGATCAAAGAGGAAAATAGAAACAGAGGTATCGGACTTAAAGGACCAACTTGCAGAAAGGAAGACACAGGTATAGTAGAATTAATAATTTGTTTTGTTTTAATAAGATTAGAAACAAATAAACAATACTAAGAACAACGTTACATTCCTTATAGGTAGAGGAGCTTCAGTTGCAACTTGGAAAACGCGAAGAAGAATTAAATCAAGTAATGGCGAAGATGGATGAAGAAGGAGCAGCAAAAGCCCAAGCTCAGAAGGCTCTCCGCGAGTTAGAGTCTCAGTTAGCTGAACTTCAAGAAGACTTGGAAGCTGAAAAAGCTGCCAGAAGCAAAGCAGAGAAGTTAAAACGTGATCTAAATGAGGAATTGGAAGCTTTGAAGAACGAGTTATTAGATTCTTTAGACACAACAGCCGCCCAACAGGAATTAAGAAGCAAACGGGAACAGGAGTTGGCAACATTGAAAAAGAACCTAGAAGAAGAGACGTCAATGCACGAGGCAACGTTGGCGGATATGCGTCATAAACATACTCAGGAATTAACAGCTCTAAACGAACAAATGGATGCACTGAAAAAGACTAAAGCCGTCTTAGAGAAGGCAAAGGGTACTCTTGAAGCTGAAAATGCTGATTTGGCGTCGGAGCTTAGATCTGTTAGCGCCAGCAGGCAAGAGTCCGATAGAAGAAGAAAACAAGCCGAACAACAGCTTGCCGAAGTGAATGCAAAGCTCGCTGAAGTTGAAAGAAATAGACAAGAATTAGTGGAAAGAGTTACAAAATTACAACAAGAATCTGAAAGTGTCATGCAACAACTGGAAGCTGCGGAATTAAAGGCTTCGGCAGCCTTAAAGGCTTCAGCAACATCTGAATCCCAGTTTACAGAACTTCAACAGCAGTTGGAGGAAGAAACCAGGCAAAAATTAGCTCTGAGTTCGAAATTACGAGCATTAGAGAGCGAAAAGGACAGCCTGCATGATCAATTAGAGGAGGAAGAGGAAGCGAAGAGAGCCTTAGATAAACAGGTACGATAATGTATTGAATTTTTCAAATGAGTAGCATTATGAAATAAGAAACTAAGTTTAAAATATTTATAGTTCTTTTTAAACTAAACTTTCATTAAATTGAAATTCTCAATTACAAACATTTATCGGACCTCTAGTCTTATTTCTATTTTATTTTTAACGGGAGTAGCCAAATTGTACGAATTTTTTTATAAACAATTTTTCAGTATTAAAGGTGAAGCGAGATTCGATACATGTGTACATTGTCATTTTACAAATCTACAATTTTCATTTAAAAACTATTTTAATATGTCCTTTGAAATATAAGTAATTGTACAAAAATTCCTTAATATACAAGGTGTTAAAAATATATAAAAGTATTAACATATGTGTTTATTTTGTTCAGGTACTGGGATTGAACATCCAATTGGCTGAAGCTAAAAAGAAGGCAGAAGACGAAGCAGAAGCTGCTGTGGCATTAGAGGAAGCTAGAAAGAGATGTATTAAAGATATGGAAGCAATTCAAAGACAGGTGGAAGAATTGCAGACTGCTAATGATAAATTGGATAAGTCGAAAAAGAAAATTCAAGCGGAACTGGAGGATAGTATTATTGAGCTCGAAGCGCAACGAGCTAAGGTGCTCGAACTAGAGAAAAAGCAGAAGAATTTCGACAAGGTAATTATCATTATCACGATTCAATAAATTTCAATTTATTTAAAAAAATTGTCTCATAAAAAGATTAACAAGAACTCCTTTAGTGTAAATTCTTCTTTCGTAATTTATGTTCTGAATTGTTTTAGACAACAAAGTGTTCCATGTATAAACTACTAAAATGATATGAATCGCATACTTAATTTTTTATGGATAATCTGATTTATTGTTTTAATAAAATAGTGTTATTGTTATCCATAAATGTTATATTAATTTAAGATTAATAGAATTGTTACCTTTTTTTTTATTATTAACAATAGTTTGGGGAACTTTCTGTGAGTTTTTAATATATTATAATTATTAATTTGATATTATCATTATTTTGAGAGCTTCATGTAGGAATTAACTTATTCTACTACCAATTTTTTCATTTTTTTATATGCAATCACTATAAACGTTTAATGAATATTCAACATCTTACGGACTATCTGTGCGCTATCACAAATTTTAATTCTTGACATGCTTAATTATTTAATGTTTGACTTTTCAAAAAATTAAATTTGAAAATTGCGTTGTTTTAAAGAAACAAAACATAGAAAGATAATAAGAATAACAGCATAAAAAACGTGATATCGCCAGGGCTTATAAATCATGAAATCTACACATAAATCAAATAATAATAATTAATTTTTAAATATATTATGTATCATCTATATCACATTGGTATTATGCATGAATATTATTCCAAGTATCTAATGGGCCAGTTATGCTAGGAGATTTCTCATTTCATTTTTTCCCTACTCAGCGTAAAATTATACCAGATCTGACACCCAGAAGGATAATTGTCCTCGCGTTATAGTCCACTACTTTTAGAAATTTCTTCGAAAAAACTAAAAATAGGTGGAACTCTTCATGAATAGCCTGTTTTAGTGATGAGTATGAGCCCCTGAAACATCACCGTCGGTGGGATGCCAGCTACAATATCATATAATATCATTTCAGACAATGCAATATATTTGTGAATGCACAGCAATCTAATGACAAATAAATTGTTTGGCACAGTTTTCGCATAGCAATCACATTCCGTACAGTATTAATTTTCATTAAACACTCATATATTTAGTAGATACACTAAAAATTTGACGTCCTTTTTTCTCATACAGTAATGGTAGAATCGATATCATAAAGCATTGAAATTTTGTTACTTTTTTAATGTGATTTTTATTACCATTCAAGGTGCTAGCTGAAGAAAAAGCGGTCTCTGAACAATATGCCGAGCAACGCGACGCTGCTGAACGCGAAGCTCGCGAAAAAGAGACTCGAGTCCTATCTTTGACGCGTGAACTCGATGAAATGAACGAGAAAGTCGAAGAACTGGAACGTGTACGGCGAGGTCTTCAGTCTGAACTCGACGAACTCGTGAATAATCAAGGAACAGCAGACAAAAACGTGCACGAACTTGAAAAGGCAAAACGTGCCCTTGAATCTCAATTGGCTGAGCAACGTTCTCAAGTAGAGGAACTTGAAGATGAGTTACAATTCACTGAGGATGCGAAATTGCGATTGGAAGTAAATATGCAAGCTTTAAGAGCTCAATTCGAACGAGATTTACAAGCCAAAGAAGAACAGGCTGAGGAGAAACGTAGGGGTTTGGTGAAACAGTTGCGTGACCTTGAAGCAGAGCTAGAGGATGAAAGGAAACAAAGGGCTGCCGCCATTGCCCAACGCAAGAAAATGGAAGCAGATTACAAAGATATTGAACAGCAACTGGAGATGCATAACAAAGTGAAAGAGGACGCATTGAAACAACTGAAGAAACTGCAGGTACAGATAAAAGATAGCACTAGAGAAACCGAAGAGGCCAGAGCCGCTAGAGATGAACTGGCAGCAAGTTCCAAAGAAACTGAACGGAAAGTGAAAAGTTTAGAGGCAGACTTGATGCAGTTAACAGAAGATTTCGCCAGCAGTGAACGAGCTAGAAGAACCGCTGAGAACGAAAGAGACGAATTACAGGAGGAATTGAATAACAATGCTAACAAGGGCACCCTGATGCTTGATGAAAAACGAAGACTTGAAGCAAGAATTGCAACATTGGAAGAGGAATTGGAAGAGGAACAGTCGAACGGTGAATTGGTGATGGATAGAGCCAGAAAGGCTCAGATAACAATTGAGCAACTGACAAACGATTTGACGACCGAAAGATCGACTACACAGAAGTTAGAATCGCACAAATTACTGTTGGAGAGACAAAATAAGGAACTTAAAGCAAAATTAACGGAATTGGAGACTGCACAGAGGGCAAAGACTAAAGCTACCATCCAACAGTTGGAGTCCAAGATTAATAATCTTGACGAGCAGTTGGAAACTGAGGCAAAAGAAAGATTTGCGCAGCAAAAGATAAACAGAAAGTTAGAAAAGAAGTTGAAGGAATTGAGCTTACAATTGGAAGATGAGAGGAGAAATTCGGACCAATACAAGGAACAAGCAGAAAAGGTAAATGCAAGAATGAAGGCATTAAAGAGACAGCTGGATGAGGCTGAGGAGGAAATTAGCAGGCATAAAGCGATGAAGAGGAAAGCACAGAGGGAATACGATGATATGCTAGAATCTCAGGAAGAACTGACCAGAGAGGTGGCAAACCTTAAAAATAAATTAAGGTATGTTTCAACAATTTATGTATGTTAAAACTCATAAGTAACTATTTCGATATTTCATTAAGTATGCATATTCCACAAGTAAACCATATTTAGTTAAAGTAAATTAGAGAACGTTGAATTTTTAGGTGAAATCATAAATGTATATGTAGAGTTACTTTTTGTCTTGCTCATAAGTAAAAAAAAAACAGCATTTACAATTATAAATGCAAACGTGAAAAGTATAGATTATCTAAAAATTGATTTTGTTAAATTAGATTCTAGTAAACTTAAATTTCATATGGTTTAAAAGGATCATATAATTTTACACATCTATATGAAGTTATCAAAGTAGTTTTAATTGCATATCTTACTTTGTCCTCTTAAAAAAATGTACATAATTTCAAATACATATTCCTTACTATTTGCTCATGCTTATAATGCTCATTCATGCTTATTTTACATCAAAGTAACTCCAAAACGAGAAATTATTATATTGTATTAAAATATTTAGGTATCAAGGAAAAAAGAAAAGTTGATATCCTACATGAAAAATGTTACAAATAGAAACTCTTCTGATTTGAAGAAACCCGTAAGTCTTGGTTAGTTAATAAACTAAATCACTCTTAATACATTAAAGTTTATATACACTTTACATTGATACATTACTATGAAAAATGTTGTTCATTCTATAACACATCTAACAAGACATTCTTTTTCTTTGTGGACAAATGCGGCATAACTGACTCACTTAAGCGTCTATGCCACTTCTATCTCGGAACTTATCTTAATTATATTGATATTTTATTCCGCCTTAGTAATTACCGTGCATTGTTTTTTTTTTGTAGAACCTTTAGCATAATTGTCAATTATATTGCTTTTATTGTAGCCTTTTTTTTATAAAATTGTCTTGTAATAAATCCTTTCATATTTTACTGTATTATTTACTACTGTTTGCAAATATATAAGTGCAAAACAGAATATCTATTATTCGTTAATATTGTTTCGTTTGATCCTGTATTATAATATATCTCATAGAATTACAAGTAGGTGTTGTACTGCTATAATCTATATTTACCATACTATGTGCCATATATTTGCTGTTAAGAAATTATTGAAATTTTATTAATCGAGATATCTATCTTGACAAAACTGGAATATTATTACTAATTTTTATCGTAATATTATAACTACATATTCTTTATTTTATGTCTCAAGGATGACCATTTTTTATTTTCTTAAACCTTGTGCACGTTAATCGCTATTGAAAACTTGATCGATGATTGCTTATAATTGGTTAGACGGATAGTAGTGTAAATCAATCTGCAATACATTGACGACTCTAGTCGATATCAAATCAATTAATAACTCAAGGTTACTCTTCGGATAGCATATAAGTAATACATATACCTGTCGTTTTCTGTGGGTAAAGCGCTGTACTATAGAAGAGTAACAGGGCACAGTGTATCTATAAAAAGTGAAATACTTCAAAAATACAATAGGTGAATATCTCTTCCATCGCCCTGGGTACCTAATTGATTTGATGTTGAATTTAGCAATTGTTTGCCAATATACAGGGTGGCTCAGCTAACTTCATCACCTTGAATAATGACTTAACAGTACACTTTATGAAAATTTTGAGGCGTGAAACTTAAATGGCATGACGGGCCTCATCTCATAAGATAGGTGCTCTTTTTGTGAGTGGAGTCATTCAGAGACTTCAAGGTCACATTGATTTTTTTTAACAGAATGACCTAGTTTTCCTTCGTACGTCTTAAACCTAATAGTTAACGAGACATTTACAAAATAATTTTCTATACGTACTTACTATCTGGAAGCTATAGGTGCTCGAACTGATTCCCGTCAACTTCAATACAGCAATTTTAATACAGTGATTATTTTGTAAATATCTCGTTAACTATTAGGTTTGGGACGTATGATGGCCAACACATTTTTACTCAGAATTTTAATACTCTATCGATCTATGGTACAAAAACGTCATTCCGTTAAAAAAAAATCAAGGTGACCTTAAAATCTCTGAAATATCTCCACCCACAAAAAAGCACGTACCTTATAAGATATGCCCCTTCATGTAATTTACGTTTCACTCCTTAAGATTTTCATAAAGTATACCGTTAAGCCATTATTCGAGGTGATCAACTTAGCCGAGACACCCTGTAGATAATGAAAATCAATTTTACTCCATAGATCAGTATATTCAGTGTTGATGTGTATGTATAAAATCATCTCGTTTAAGATATATAATATTTCTTATTTTTCCGATACTGTAATATTTGACTTAACAAAAAGACAAATTGTTTAACAGACGAGGCGGACCTCCGATAAGCCTCAGTTCGACGCGTCTGAAACGTGGTTCTGTTCAGACCGGTGGCTCTGGGGATGATTCGACAACACAGGACGAAAGCATTGATGGTGAGGAAACTGTCAACTGAACGGCAGAACGGAAAGATTACTTAATGAACCCTCACAACGCAGGAAACCCATAGAAAACCACAAGTCCAAAAGGTGCGCGCCAGATCCACTTCGACACAAGCCAAGTTCGAATTTTAAAGAACTTGTTTCCCCGAGTTTTCCAGGGAATCGATTGCTATGCACCTAACGATGCCATTAGATGAGGGCGGCTTTCTTCTGTATATAAGAGGCCCGGCAAAGCCGTACTGAGTAGTATTTTACCCTCGTTCTTCCAGAACTCCACAAAGAACGACGAATCTTCTCATGAATGCATGGTTTCGAGCAGTTACTGAAAAAATAATTAATGGCGTAGGTCATGAAAAATTTAAAGTGAAATCATTAGAAATGATGAATTTTTATAGGTAAATTTGTACTGAATTTCTTTCCTAGGAGTTTAGCGTGCGAGGCATATACATATTAAATCTGCACGTTAACAGTACTGGAATGCCATACTTTGTACAAACTTTACCATACAGACTTCCTTAATCGTGAATTTCGTCATTCTTTGCGGCAAATGCTACCACTTCGCCGGGTAATATTGAAATTAGAAATATATTATTGGGGCTGCATAATCGATAACGAATTAACACCGCATTTAGGCAGCATTAATATCTATTATATTATAGTTATATTAATTAATTAATTATTATTATCATCGCAGTTTTTATTTTTATCGCGAAAAAAATCGTAATATGTTATTTGTAATTATTTTTAATAATCGAGAAAATGATGAACGATTCGGGCATCGTTCCGAGAGGTTAAAAACTACAGAATTTCCACAAGAGTCAGCGTACAATTTTCTGTTGATAGAAGTGTTTAGAAAGAAACTTTTGTACAATAATATTATCGACAACGTTGAGTCGAGCGATCGTAGGATTTAAAACACTTTTTGAAATAAGTAATTTTGTACCATAATTTAATAAATCAGTATTTCAAAGATGATTCTGGGAGACTAGAACGTTTTGAAGAAATTTGAAAGATTATTTAAGAAACAAAGTTAGCTTTCTTACGTATAAGTATCTTCTATGCGAGAGAGTGGTTTTGACTCCAAAGTCGGCTTTTGAAGAAAAAGTATTATTATTTTTAAGAAGAGTTTCACTCTTTAATATCTCGTTCAAGTTTTTCAGTTTTGTTTTTTCCTAACTTTTCCTTTTGTTTTCAATTGAATTTCTTTGCCTGTCGGAACGAACCAGAAATCGACAATCGAGATATGTCAATTGGTATTTAGGGCTGATCGCAGATCGAGAGCTTTTTCGTTTCGTGTCTAATTGAAGGGGTTGAAATCCTATTTCAGACGCATCGAAAAGTTCGTCAACGTTCTTGGAACAGTTTTTTAAGCATGCATGTAATCAAGATTAATGTTTCTGAAATGTTATGCATGGAGAATACTTTAATTCAAACTTGTATTTTTTTAAATCAAAAAATGTATAGTTCAGCGGATTTCTTGATGCGTATGAAGGTCAACTTTTAGACCCAAGATCGCCATGTGAAATTGATTAAGGAAAGAAGAGAAACAGTGACGTTTTTATACATGCATTTTTTACAACATGTGCATTTCTCATGCATTCAGATGAATCGCATTTTAACCTCTTTTTGTATTCAGATTGAACGAAAAAACTATTTATACGAAAAAAAAGCAATTATTTTTGTGAGGGAAACAACTATCGAATTTTTTGCGGGTATTAATTTTAATTTTTAAAAAGAAAAAAAGAAATAAAAATTAATAAATGTTCTGCTCTACATAGAACCCGAGACAAAAAGAGGTTAACAGGCAGTTATATATATTATGCGTATACAGGTTATTTTATAAATAACATATAATAATATAATAGTCAATTTTGCAACTGGTTCTGCGGAGAAAATTTCCTATCAACATATCTATGTATGTAATTCAACAGTTAAGACCTATGAAAATAGACAAAATTTGTAATTTTGATTAACAGTGTATTCTTAGCTACTCAGTTGTAAGTGGACAGCAACTGTTTATGTAAATATAAATTTTTACTAAATTATTTAGAACGGCATATCAGACAAGAGTTTGTTTATGCAACTATGAGTTCTATCAGATTCTAAATAAAATAAAAACCTTATTATACTGCATTAAATTTGTTAGTACTCTTGAGTTTTAAGCAGATGTGGATAGACATTTTCTATATAGAATCACCCTCAAGATCGACTGTTACATTATTATACATTGATTATGAAACACCCTGTGCATGTAAACATTTACATATACAGAGTAGCCTATAAAGTATGCCACATCCAGGGAACAAGACGTAAAAATGAAATTCTCTCTTTTTTTTGTATGATCAGTTTTTATTTCATGAGTTACCAAACATCGAGACCGAATAATTGTCAAGAAGATCTTAATATTATACAAAATAAACTTAGTATCTTAATATTGTCATACAAAAACATGGAGACGTTTTATGATTTCTATAGAGAAATAAAAAAGTTTTCTGGATGCAACACGCCTTATTGTACACTCTCTTTATATATATACATATATATGTATGTGTATGTGTGTATATATATATGTATACACACATATATATCAGGGTTATAATATTTTTTGATACGACTAAGTGATTGTACATGGACGAAACTGGCCTGTTTTTTACATTAAACAGCTTTCTAGTGATTTTTTAGGCGGGCTTTTCAAATTCGCGATTGAATTGCCACTTAACAAAATCGTGGACTATTATTTTCTCCACGCAATTATTATAATTAAATTACAATAATCTTTGCAAGAAACTTAATAAATGTTACATACACTTTCGACAGATTTAGTTAGTAAGAAATAAATTATAATTTCATAAATAAAAAACGATACTGTAATGAATTGTGTCTGTCAAAAAGAATGGAGTCAGTGATGCGATGTATAAATTTGTTGTATGTCAAGTGGTGGATCACTGATTTTCATAATTAAATACACTTTTTTGAATGGACACTGAAGATACATAACCACAACAATCCTTCTTAAAGAATGATGTTTTTCAGAGTTAGAAAATCTGACCTCTTAGTTTTGTTCACTTTAAAGTATTAGAAAAACCTTCTTATCGACTTCATAATACAAGAATTAATTCCAATAAAACCATGAATTTCTAAAGTCTTTGAATAAAATCATATTTATAGGAAAGTACAGTGAGGAGTATGTAAAAAGCTAAATTAAATACACTATTTATCCTATTCATAGTGAAAAATCAATAAAATTAATTTCTTAATTGCAGGGTTAAGCAAAATAAGAGTTTTTTTTCGTAGAGTTTACAAACTTACAAATTACTGTAAAATCCTCATTTTAAATAGTAAAGGTTTCTCCAGAATGGAATCAGTAATAATCTGTTACCTCTTTTTAATCTTCTGACAATGCTTGTTTCTGTTACAAACCTATTATTTATTCGTAAAGGTGCTTAGTTGCATATTAATTTAAGGCATGCACTTTTTTGGTCATTAAAAATCTACCACTTCATATGCAACAATTTATTAGTAAAGTGGAATTGATACTTGATCGTATTTTTGTTTGTACCCTGTTTGGGTACGAGAATGTAGAACATTGATCCAAGTCTTAAGATTTTTAATAACGTGTACAAAACTGAAACACCGTCGGAACATACACAACTTTCTCTCAAAGGTATTCCTTTCATTTCTGGAAATTTGGATGATTGTAAAAAATATATTTCGTGAGTTACGATTTATAACGTATTATTATAGCAACTATATGTGGTATAATTAATTCACGCAGTAGTGTGAAATGAACTTAAAAGCGATGTATATCTTAAATGCATTCACAATTGAAATTATTTACTCGGATTACTTTTTCAGCTACTGCAAATTTATATTGATAGCAATAAAAACAAATTTCTACCCCTGGAACTCTTTTCTGCAAAATTTCAATAAATATACGTATACACGTACGCCTTGCAAAGTGGACTATAACGCGGCCATAAATTACTTACAATTTAATATACTTATTTTTTTATTTAACCGATAAGTCGAGATAATTTTAATTTCATGTTTTTGATATAGTTCCTAGCTTACGTAGTGATGCAGTAAAACGATGAACAGCTTAATTGACTTGGATTTTACCACAATTGACTTTTGTCTAAAGTCTGAAGGTATTGAAAGAATTCATTTCATATGCATATATAATTCAATCTAAAACATGCTATTTATTTTTGGATGTAAGAAGAAAATATTTTATTGAAGCAACAGAAACCAGAAAAGCTCGGCAAAGTTATTGATTTTATAGTTTTAGAATGGACATATTTTTTATAAGCCATCCAAAATTTCTGTAAACAAAAAAGGGAATCTACACCTTGCGTTGTTCGCAAATCGATGTGAATTTGTAAATAGGCGCTAAATGCGTTTAGCTTCGATTTTGGTAAGTTTTGCTTAAGCTTAAGCGATCATCTCTTCTCTTACAAATATAAATTCCAACGGGGTTGAAAAGAATTTATATGAATACTATAAATGAACTGAAATAAGTAACTAAAAGGAGGAAAGAAATAAGAGAGAGATGGAGAAGTTGAATAAGATTTGTTTGACCATCGAAATGGGAAACTTTTTTGATACTACATTTTATACAGGCATAAATCGAACATTACTGACACTACGGTATGTTGAGAGGAAGGCATAATAAATGCTGAAAAGTGGATGGCAGATATATTGTTACTCGGTCAGTGATTTTCAATCGGTTATTTATTTAGTGATCAATAAATGTATAATATAATATGATCTATTGCAATAACCTTTTTTTAGTTGATTTAGTAATTAGAAAATTATTACATACGTCTTATTTGTTATTCTAATATTAACCAATACATAAGTAAATACTATAATATCATTGAATTGAAAAAAATTCAAGGAAATTTATAACTGAAATGCGAAATTTTTCTTCATATATAATTTCAGATGGTCGATCTCATTAGCAACATCCATATGTACTAAAAATGGTTACCTTTACCTGTATTTAATAAAAGCATTGATAAAATAAAAATTTATTACATTATGATGTACATAATTTAATCATACAAAATATTTTTCGCAACGTTGAACTGTAAAATGCTTGTCATTGACCTTAAAAACGGGCAAAGATTGAACACCACTGAACCAATACAATTCGTATTTTAATTCATTCCAATTTGTTTCTTCCTAATTTCTTCCAATTGTCGCTTCAATCCTGGACTGGCATTGTCCAACGGAGTCTTCTTCTCTTTGTTTCGTAAATATAAATCCGCACCATGTTCAAGCAACACTTTCGCTTCGTCGACGCGATCTTCTTCACATGCTAAGTGTAATGCAGTATTAGCGTCGTAATCTCTGCTATCTGTAAACAAGTAAAGCCATTTCTAAGGAAAGAAATAATAATTACGAATTTGATATCAAGAAAGGTATGTGTATGTTTTTGAAAAAAAATTTCAACATTTTATGAATGTGGTCTATGTAGAATTACTTTTTACAAAAATTGATTCTTTTTTTTTAAACTGTAAACTCCATTTTTTGAAATATATGTGTAGGTGATTCATAAATGCATATCAATACTTCAGAGTTCACGGGGTAAATCTACACACTAATGTAAGTAAACATTCATCATGTGTCATATACAGGGTGTCCGTGCTAACAGTGAACAGTCCATTATTTCCTAAACTATTTGAAATTCTAGAAAACTGTACGTAAAAGTGAATGACACAAGGCGATTAATTAACGGGCTATGGGCGATTTTTTTTTAAAAGTCTAATAGGGTGAACTTTTAACCGGAATTAAAATATTTCGGAGCGAGACGGTAGACTTGAGACTCTCGTTTGAATTTTGTGTTTGCGCCTAAACATGGCTCCTTTGAAGAATATTGAAATTTGAGAAAAGGCTATGTTTTATAAAAATAATTCATAATATTCTTACCATTCCAATTTACAATGTTTATAAACAAACAATATTAAATATAAAAGAGTACTCACCTATTTCTAAATCCTTTCCATGTTCCAAAAGGAGTTTCACAATAGCAACATTGCCTTTTGAGGCAGCCCTGTGCAATGGCGTTGCACCGCGATTATCTGTTATATTAACGTCTGCGTCTTTTTCTAACAATGCAGCGCAAATAGTCTGCCAATTTTTCGATGCTGCATACTGGAGCGCAGAATGGCCAGTTTGTGTAGTAGCATTAACATTTGCACCCTCTTTTAATAAGGTATTAACCACTTTTTCACGTCCAGCCGATGCTGCCAAAATTAGCGGTGTCATCTCCATCTACATATTAAAATTAATATATTTTGTAAACTCAAGTTTATTATCTCAAATAAATTTTACTATTTAAAGTATATGAAAGAAATTCCAGAAAAGACCAAAGGTTAAGACAACACTTTGAAATGTGTGAAAATCAATCTGGCATTTATCCAATCGAATGATGACGTTTACTGCTGATTGTGAGATCTGAAACCACGTCTCGTAACTGCTGCCCAACGAGAACAATAACCAAGGCAGACAAGCTTCTATATATTAATATTTGTAAATTATAGAAATACAGTTTGCTATCACGATTGTTGATCGATCATTCACATTACACTATTCTGTTCGTTAACAAATTAACAATGTGCTCAACTACAGTAGGCAGACATACATAGTACATGAAGAGTGCTCTGCAATAAGTTTGTAACAAAATAAACAAAATAAACGCCCAGGTATTTTACTTGTATTATTACCATGAAGAGAATTGAGGTGCTGAAGAATAAAGCCAGCTCACAGGCAAGATTACGGGAAGCAGCCGACGCAAGGCATTCATTCGTAGATTCGTAGGTGGCCCCAGCCAGAGATGAGCAAATTTTTATTTAAATACAAATTTCAAGTATAGAATAATTTTTTTATTCGACGAATAAATTCTCATCGAATACAAAAATTACACGTTATAACGTTATACTAATAACGAATAAAGATAAATTATCTTTTATTCGATTCGTTATTCAAATAATTTTTTATTTAGGCAATGTCCAACTCTGATCCCAGCAATCCAATAACCTCTGCAAGCAGTAGCTTCGGCTCCCTGACCTCCTCCGGAGAAGCACCATATGCTCTTGCCGAAGATCAGCATCGAGGACATAAGAAGAGAAGGGTCAGCAAGCAGCCCGTCATCACCATTCCGATGGACAGGGACCGTGTCGTGGACGCAATTGTAGAAATGACAATTACGACAGTCGATGCATTCTTCAACAAATATGTCTGTTCGGAACACCTGTGTCAATCACCACCGACCAGGGTACGCAATTTAACAGTACTCTTTTCAATGCACTATGACATACAATTAGTACAAAACACACCCGAACAACACTCTACCATCCAGCGTCGACGAACTCATTGAGAGGTGTCTCCGCACATTAAAGACAGTATTAATGTGCAATAGTAGTATTCCATGGCCGGTATTCCCCCAACGATCATGCTTGGGCTTCAAACGGCGTACAAAGAAGATTTGAAGGCTTCACCTGCCGAACCTTCGGCACAACCTTAAGAATTCCAGGGGACTTTTTCATCCAGCAAGATTCTCCAGCCCATCCATACATCTTCATACAGAAGCACAGAGAATACATGAGATCTATCCGACCAACACGTGGCTCGACGACAGAAATGGGAAAAAGAAGACAACCATCAGTAGATCGGTTGAAGCCGGTGTTTATAGCCAAAACCGATATTGCTCAAGACGACACAATTACAGCAAATTGATATTATACATCATCATCAACAAGGCGGCACGGATAGACTAGGGTGGGAGTAAATGGTCACAGCCGCGGTGGCCCCTCGTGCTGCTCGCAGGGCGACGGAACTGGGGGTGACACTGGGGGTGTCATTCCTGTCGCGGCCAGTTCAAAGCAGAAGACAGTGTCGGTGGAGGTGGAGGGACGGTTAGATTCCGTCCCTGGGGGGATTTGGCTTCGGGGGAGGTCGAGCGTACTCGCCCCCCCCTCGTAACAAGGTGTGTTCCTCCCCCTTTTGGGGAGGAGCATGGGCAGGGCCGGCTGTAGAAGTCGTATGACATGCAGTACCTACAGCCAGCCTGACGCCAAAAAAAGAAATTTGCTAGTAACTGATCAATCTTACTTCGTTCAAAATAAAAATATTTAATAATTTGCAAACCCACATTTTTAGTAACCTTTAGTAACTTCTTTATAACCTATGTCCTATACGAAAAACGTTTTATAGGTTAGAAACACGTTATAGATATTTTCATTCCAGATATATGACATTTATGACACATTTACGACATTTAAGACACGTGTCACGTCATTATTCGAGGTGATCAAGTTAGCTGAGACACACTGTAGATAGGAAATAGAGGGTAAAAATAGCTCCAAGCAATAAATACAAACTCTACTCGCTGTAAATTGACTTCATTAATACTAAATAAACGCGAAACATAAACAAACTATACGGATTGGCACAACTGATGAAATCTAGTCGTAACTCATGATATACATATGTATCATGTATCTATGACTAGAGATGGCGTGCAAAATCACTAACGGCGATTTATCACAGTGATCGCCGAATCATTATCACACAGTCGTGATTTAACTTCATTCACGACCATGATTGCGATTTTTTTATCTTGAGTGAATTTACTTACTGCGATCGTAAGTCCTTGATCTTTAAACAGAAAAACGTATTCAATATGATTTTACGATGAATTACGTTACTATTTGTGTTTGTAAAAATTAGTAAGAAAAAACAAGAAATTCTAAAAGAATGATTTGCTAGGTAACATGTAGATTATAATTTATAATCATTAATTTATTCATTATTCTTCATTGTTTCTAATTAATCCTTCACTTTATATGGTATAACTCGAATTTTTGGTTCGATGTAGTTAATATAAATGTAAAATATACAGGTTATGAGTCGCGTGTAAAGTACTGTTATGTTTCTCCACCAATTAGAAACGATCACGAAAAATCACGATTCACTGTGAAAAATCACCGTGATTAGGAACGAACGTGATCAAATCACTCGTGATTCGCAAATAGCAGTTCACACCATCTGTATCTATGACACATCGCGTTAATGTTTTGTTTTGATCTGTCAAGTAATAATTAAAGAACTTACATCGTCAGTAGGATCCACGGGTACATCAAGGGATAACAAAAATCTGACCAGGTCATCATGGCCTCCAAGTGCAGCCCAATGTATTAACATACGTCCGTTCTATCGAAAACAAACTTATGAAGAAGGAACATAACCTAGATACATATTTTAATGAAATAAATACGTACGCTGTCCTTCTCTGTCTTCAGTTTCTGATTTTCACTTATAAGACGCATAACATCCGCGGTTTTACCACGATATGCCATATCATGAATTGAATGCTCAGACATTTTCGTCGCTTCTTAGTGTAAATATTTAAGACAAATTATAAATGGTTATGTTTGGACGTGAGAACAACACTTCTTCTATTCTACCACCGGAGGGACAGAAATCATGGTCGTATGTTGTTTGTTTTTCGTTATTTATAATTCAATATTAAATTTTACGTACCTTAAAAATTTTAACTTTTGTTTCATTTAGTAAACAATGTAGGATATGTAAAATTGGGAATTTGACGTACCAACCTATTATCTGTTGCGGTCCCCGCTCATGTCACGTAGCGGTGTATGTCATAAGCTTTACAGGCGCGAAGTTTGAATCGAATAACACATGTAATAGGAAAGGAGGGTAAAGGTGAAGTTGACACTGATTTGAAGAAGTGTGAAATCTGTTAGAGATCCTTTTCATAAATGCATTTCAAGATTATAAAATAATCAATATTCACTTAGAAACGAATGTTTAAACATTTGCCAGTTGCCTTCGCCTCCTATCCTAACGCTCAGAATCATTGCAAATATGTAAATTGCTCGTTATCAATAACCGGGAAGAAACGCATCAACGAATCAGGTTAAATCTTAGAAATTAATAATTATAAGATTGGTCAGTAGTAAGTAAGGACATTTTGTAATTAAACAAAATGATATACGAAGGGAAATGAAAAGACATGCCATTCCACCGACAACGTTGTAATAGAAAGGACGTATAAAAATTACTTTATCAATTAAATTTGTTTTCCTTTAAAATTAGTTAAAAATCGTTTATTTAAATAGTTTAAATATAGTTTTCAAAGTTTTAATTTAAATCTTTATTGTTCTTTATTATTATCGTTATAATTTCCTTTTTATTCAAAATTATCTATAAAACTAACGTGTTTCAAACTTTAATTACTTTGAGACTCAGGATTCCCTGAGGGCCCACGCAACATATCAAAACCTTTTCCATCTGTGTAATATTAATTTTTTATTTTAAAGTTTAATCCCTGTCAGCCAAACCTGCTCTAAACAAATATTACTAGATTCTGTTGTAGACCTGATGTACAGATTTGCTAGAGGATCTGCTGTCAGCAATCTAGCAGCAGAAATACACCAGGCCTAGTGATACGATTTGACGTCAGAAATTGAAGAGACCGGCTAATATTTTGACGTCTGCTTTACATTAGAAATGCAGTAGAACTACGCAATTTACTCTATTACAGATTATAATGACTGCGGGGGTTCCATGACCCCACGCTCTCACCACACGGGGTCCGTGGCGTCACTACAGGGGGTTCTAAGACCCCACATTCTCTCGCACGGGGTTCGTGGCGCCTCCATCGGGGGTTCTATGACCCCACGTTCTCTCCACGCGGGGCCCGTGGCGCCTCCACCGGGGGTTCTATGACCCCACGTTTCACCACACGAGGTCTCCCACGCATGCTCCGGGGGTTCTGTGACCCCACTTTCTTGCACACACGGGGTCTCTTATGGTGGAAGCGCCACTAAATGTCCCATAAATTCTCCATTTTTCAAAATGGCTTGCGTCAATACACGTTTGAAACGTGAACTATCGAAATCTGACTGACACTTGTGCGTGCTTCCGTGAGCAAATTATATAGTAACCCCAACAACAATGGCAGTTTCTGCAGATACTACTGCAGCCCAAGTTTGAAAGACGTAGGCAGTAGTTAGTTTCTGTAGTAACCTGTTGAACCAGACAGCTATAATTAGTATAGGGTTGTACAATATTTATGCTATTATATTTAAGACAATTCGATGAAATGAAGCTTATATTACCTGACGTATGTTTATTGGAATATACATATATACATATAAAGTATAATGATATAAAAGTTTGAAATACAATACGATGCGTTACGGTACAATACGTCTATTCGATTCAATTGCTCCCTTGCGACTACAATCATGCTATCCGCGTTCGGCGCAGTGCGCTAATACGGAGGCCAACGAAATATCGCTGTACCACTTAAAAAAGTTTTACAGTTCCATTTATTATTGTCCTGTGAATATGTTCGTACTTCCAGCAACATTCATATTCCAATCAAAGAATTTACAGAATAAGGAAAAGGAGTCTAAAGTAATTTTCAGTAATTCCATACATCTTTATCTCGAATAATTTTCTAAAACATTCAAAGTACTAGACATTTTTACACTTTGAATCTCATATCGATTTCTAAAATAATCCTA